ACACAGGCCTTGCTGTGAGTAATTATTAAATACCTTTCTCGCCTTCCCCGTCCTCACATCCACCGCCATCAGCGCAGAGATAGAGAGGGAGGTGAGTTTTAGTAGAGAGAGAGAGAGAGAGAAAGATTGAGAGATGTCTTCAGGCAGATACATGGCGTATTCTCCATCACCATCAACCGCCCCTCACTCTCCCTTTCGCTCTGCTGCCACTGCTCTCGTGGAGCAGGACAAGTGAGATAATCACTTTCTCTCTCTGAATCCTCATATTCTCTCTCTTCACCACTCTTTTGTGCATTTTTTCGCACTATGTTTCGAGTTTTTTTGTTTTTTGTTTTCCTTCATCTGTTTTCTTATTGTAAAGTAAAACGAAGAAACCCTACCCTATAATTTTTCTATATGTTAACCATTGATTTTCCATTATTTTTGTATTTTCTCCCCAAATATTCTGTGTTTTATGCACTTCTTACGAGAGGATTCTGGAAAGTACAATTCAAACGAATGCTATTTATGGTGTATTTGTGAATTTTTGGGTAATTATGGGAAAACTTGGATCAATACCATGGGCAGAGAATGATCTAAAGAGGTATTAGGCATAAGATTGTTGTTGAATATTCATAGAGGCTAGGGTCTAACGCTTTCCATTGAGTCTGGGTAGGTGCAAAAAAATGCACTTTTTTTTTTTTTCTTATTTTTGTTTTACCTATCTGTTTTTACATTTTTATTAATGTATATAGGTCCTGTATAATCTTTTAAAAAGAGGGTTGATTGGATATGCTTGAGGAAAAATGTTATTGTGGATGTGCTTATTTCCAATTCATAAACAAGCTTGCATGTTGTGCTTGCAATATTGGGTGGGTAATCGGGGTTATCAATTTTCATTATTTTGCCATTTCTGAATTTTCTATTACTTTTTTTGAATATTTTTTGAGATGGTTTTTATTCTTAGCTCAGAGGAGCTCATTGCTCCAGGTGATTACAACATCAACTTTTAGAAACATTTTTGTTGATCTGTGCAGTTCAACATATAAGCATTTCATTGCTTAGAAAGTCTCTCTTTTATTGATAGTTGAAATGGCTCTGCAAACTCTTAAGAGTCATACAAACAAATGAAAAGTGTTAAGAACTTAGAAATCTCCAGAGTTTGTTATTTAAAATTTAGTTTGCTTTATGCCATCTGTTACGATGCCCATGAGATGCAATCAGCTAGACTGTGCTTTGAGAACAACAGAATTGTATGGAGATTGGAGAATAAATAGATAAATGATCACTCCGTGATGTAGTTGTGTGGACAATGCATGCAGTTTTATTTCTGAAATTTGTAATGCACAGTTATTATATTGTCAAATAGATAGTTTTAGTGATTTATTTCTCTCTATGTGGACTAATTGACACTACGTGCCTCAAATCTACAAATATTTATTGTTGGAAATCTTGGTTGATCTGCCACTTTGCCGTTATTGACTTACCTTTGGAAAACTATGCATGTTACATGGTTGGATTCTTAGAAACTCTACAAATGGGTGTTGTCTCTGAGGTACCCATGTGCTGATTTGTCTAGGTTTCCTTGGTTATAACCATGGAGATAGCAATTAATTAAAAAACAATAATAATTGTGGAAATAGCATGTAGTTTTCCTTTTGAAACCTGCAGGGTGTATTAATAATTTAATACATAAAATCCAGAGTTACAAAACCTGGAAATATTGAAATGGTCTCTTAACCAAAAACATAAAATAGAAAATAGGAAATCATTATGGTTATAATGAAATGAAAGATTTGGGATTTATTCATACTTCATTCGTAGATTTAATCGCCATTAACTTGCAGTGGTCATTTTCCCAAAGTTCACTGTGATCTGAAACTATGCTCATATAGTGCACTCATTTTTTGGCAGGTATCTTTCTGAGCTATTGGCTGAACGGCAAAAGCTTGGTCCTTTTATGCAAGTGCTTCCACATAGCTATCGGGTTCTGAACCAGGGTGAGTCCCAGGATGGAGAATAAATATGGATCAGAATAATCAGACATAAAAGTTCATAAGCTAACCCAAAATCTCCTTTTTTGGTGCTCTGAAACAACCTTCTCCCATTCACATGCTTTTGTGACAAATGTTTTAGATGTAGGCTTTCCTACATGGGCATAATCAGATCTATTATATATCCATTAGGTGTAATTTGTAATGCATTCTGAAGGATTTTAATAAAATGAATATCTACGAATCAGTTTTTGTCAGCTGTTCTTTATCTAAGGATCCATTTGTTTCTAATTTGGGATTGTTTTCTTCAACGGGTAACCACTTGAGTTTCAATGCTATCAGATCGTTTGTCCACATGGGTAGGAGAGATGCTCATTGATGCTGACGAATTGTTCTCAAACTTAAGTTTTAGAGTCACATCCTCATGGAAGAAGACCTGTGAGGCAAGAATCTTCAAAATGATAACCTTCAGCTACATTTTAGGAAGATTAAGAAGTCCTGATAATTGCACTCAACCACCAATTAGCCGATTGAAATTCTCAATTTGTAGCCTTTATCAGGTGCTACGAGTTTTCCTCCTACTTGTTGTTGTCTAGCCCATTTATTCTTTAGTCATAAACTAAAGAACTTATAATTTATTTATCTCTGATCAAAGAATTTTGAGAAGTTTGTAGTGACTACTTGGAGATTTCTGTGCTACTGTTGAATTTAAGCCTTTGGGTCAATGCTCTTTTAATTACTGACTACTGAGAATGTGCTACAGAAAATTTTACTGATGAATTATCAACACAGCACCTAAAGGAGTACTGATGAGTATCTTTTACCTGGTTATGAGTGGGAGACATTAGTAAGACCATGAAAAAATCTTAATACTTAATTTTCAATTAACATGGAAAGACGATTTCATCACTGGTGATGTTTTCTAGAGGAGATCTTATAATAGAGACAGACAAAGGGCATCTTGCAGCCATTTGAACTTCAACTGAATGACAGTGGTCTCCTTGAACTGCAACTGACATGACTGATGACTAGTTTATGAAATACATGTTTTTATTTAGTGTAGGTTAGCTCATGTTTTCGTCTTTGGAGGGAGTAGAATTCGTGAAATATTTGAAAAATCCATGCTACAAAGTTCTTATGTGAATTTATAGATTCAGTTGAGGCGCATAGCCTTCTAAGGATTAGCTGTTTGCTTTGATGTCAACTCCAAGAATTTCTCATGTGAATTCAATTCTTGGATAAAAAAAATCTCTTCATTTAATCAGATCATTGGAAGACTATTCTACATTTGATTTTCTTGGCCCAAGAAGGGCATGAGGATGCTTTTGGTACTCATGGAATATTCATGCACTGGTGCCTGCTGCTGTTGTATTTTTGTTCCTCACAGGGGATTCCTTGAGGGTTTTGTCTTTAATTCAGGCCTGCTTGCCTCTTGTGAACATTGGAGGCATTTGGTGACATTAGAGTCAGCTTTTATTGAACCGTAGGGAAATGGTAAAGGAGTAATGACTGACTACTAGATATCCAATGCCATTGATTTTTGTTGAAACTCATTTATAAAAAGGTATTTATCACATATTGTTATCTATAATGAACTGTAGTGTTCGTTCTGTGACATAAAAATCAATGTCGGCATGGATTAATTTTTCAATTTACTTAATTTGAAGAAATATAGATAAGCATGTAGTATATTTATGCTTCACCTGTGTGTGTTCAAGATCAGCTAGCGAATCAAATCAACATTAACAGTTAATTTGCTTGATTTTATCAATAATTGAGACTGTCTAAATTGGCATTGGTAATTGGGGAAGGCCTTTTGGATTTACAGGTAGAAAATAAAGAGCTTTCACTGGGAAGGCTGGCATGTTCTTCGAGTAATGTAAAGGGTTGGTTTCAACTACTCATGTAAGCATTATGCAAGAAGTCTGTCATAAGAAAAAGGCATTTGTGACTGTGTTTACATTTCGTTTTTTATTTTCCACCCAAATTATCTGGGAGGCTCAAATTTTGCTTCAAAGCATGCAAGTTAGGAACAAATGAATAAATATAGGAAGGTGTTAGGGAATACTAGTAGGTGGCTGTTGTGGGGTATATTCCATATACAAAGTTGGAGAGATGCTTGGAAGTGATGGGCTTGGTTGTTTTTAAACATATTATGTGTGAAAGGTTTTAGTTTCTAGAGCAAAAAGAGAGAGAACGTATGAAATCTTAAAGGGGGCATAAAATTTGATGATCAGGCCCACTCGCCAATTTTAGTTAGAAAACCTTAGGGTATACACTTGATGGATGAGGGTTACCATGTGTATCCGTGGCATCGCAAATGATTAGAGGGCGATCTTGGTTGTTGTGACCTACTGAAGTCCACACTCTAGATTTTGATCACCATTTCCTTGTTTGAGGTTTAGGACCCCTGTAGTGATTGCTGCTTAAGCACAGCATATAGCTCTTACGTTTTTGGTACTTGGTCTAGATAAGCATGGGATTCTTGTTCTAGATAAGTACAGGATTATTATTCAAAAAAGCAAAGAATTGTCCACAGAATGTAATAGATAATATACGCTTGCATGTTTCTAGCTTCTTGCAAGCAGCAACTATTTAGTCCACTATAAGGAAATTTAACAAAACAATTTAATGGAACAAAACACTAAGACAAGCATTTTCTGGTGTTCCTATCATCTGCAATAATTTATAATATATTCAATCAAATTTTTTTTTCCTTCATTCTTTTCAAAGTGCCTCCTTACTAAGGCTTACAGGGGACAATACTAGTGTAAATTCCTATTGATTTCCTTAGAACCATCAATGTAGTGGCCATTTCTAATCCATGCAGAACCATGGTGCTTTCTTTCTCTTTCCTTTTCTTTCTTTCTTTCTTTTTTCTTTTTAAAAATCTTCAACTGGAGAAAACACTTGGAGAGAAAACAGGCCTGCATCAAATGACAGAACCAAACAACTCTCAAGACTTCATGGAAAATATTTTGACAATTCCTATGGTGAAATATTAGGATTGATTCCTACAAATCTGAGCAGCCGCTTAACTTGCCTCCTTTTGTCTGGGAACAAATAGTTGCGAAAGGTCTAGTTTATGTAATCCAAAGTGTTGGTAGGGAATTTTATGGGAACAAGAGGTCCTGTCATCTATATTATCAAAAAAAAGAAAAAGAAAAAGAAGAAGAAAGAGTTCACATCATCTTCAATCAGATGTGGTTACATAATGCCACGCATACCATCTCAGACTTGTCTTTAAACTTTTAACACAAAGGATTCCTGAGCACTGTTTACTTGATCATTCTCCAAGGGTCTGCGAAGCCAAGAATGGTAATGAGTCACTCGCACATGGAAATACCAAGTTTCCATTATGGCATGGATTGCCTTCTGTACAATCATGAAAGTACCTTTCATGTAACCCTTAGGTGGGGGAATTCTCGCTCATTACTCAGACATTTTGCATGATAACTAGTTCTGAGAGATCCTCAATATGTTCACTGGTCCCTAGCACCATCTTTATAGAACTGGCCACCTTCTTCTTCTTCCACATCTATCCTGTATGTCTTATGTCTGCATAGGCTTGGAGGAAAGCAAAAGGTCCACATGACCTTTTTTTTATTGTAGTCCAAATAACCTTCTTCGTATTGTTCGTGATCGCTTAGTCCTGCTATATATAGCATTGACATGGTTGCCTGGTTGACGGTGTATTATAAGTAAGGATGCAAACTATTTTTTATATGAATTTTTTAATAATGCAGTTCCTAGACGGTGGTAATAATTAGTCTTTTGCACTTGTTAGTTTTATTCTTGTGCTTATATGTTTTACCCTTTTTATAGAAGTATTTGACTTTTGTTTTCCTTTAAATCTAACCTGACACCCAGAAATTTTAGGTAAGTTAAGAAATGCCTGGTATGTGAACTAATTGTCCTCATATTGTTGCTAATTTTTAACAACTCCGGGGGGTGCTAGTTTTGATTAAGCATATGCAGTTAATCCATTTTATCTGTCCATTTTCTACTAACTAATTTCTTGTGCTTGATGGGACATCTGATTTAAGTAGCCCTCTTCTTATTCTTGCAATTCAAATTGTGAAGCAGAAATAGTGCGTGTAACTACTCTGTTGGGGAATGCATCACTTTTAGATCAGAGTGGGCTTGAACATGCTAGCCCGTTGAATTCTGGAGGATTATATTCAAATGGAGGAGCTGATATGAATGGATGGGCGACACCTTTCCAATCTGAAGTACGGATACTAACCATTAACATAACTCCTCTTTTAATCTAATTTTACTTCTATTCACAAATTGCTGACTTAGTTTGCAGATTCTAACTTCAGGTAAGAAAAACTCTTATGGGAGTGCTGGCATGTTAATTCTCCTTTTGTTGGATTTGATGGCTATGATAAATCTCTATGGAAACACTATAGAATATGCTTGCGCATTGTCATTTCTAGCTTCATATAGTAATTCATACAGGAATTACTGTATTCTACAGATGTTGATGACAGTTCATAGAACCCCATCGAGAGGATTGTGGAGAACACTCTAAAAAGAAATGGAAAATTGAGGCATTGGGATTGCTTATGACTAGTTTCAAGGTTGGCAAAGGGATCTGCGGCAACTGATTCTGTCTTCATGCTCACTCCTATATCAAGGGTGGTGTAATTTATTGGGAGTCCCAATGAACATGGTTAGGAGCCACCTGAACGTTTTGTATAGTGGCATTTGGCAGTTCATGGAGTAACTGTGCTTGAATTTTTGGGATTGATTTTAGTAGTGGCAGACGTAATCTGAATTTAGTCCTGCATCTTGTAGCCTATCATAACTGAACTATCACCAGGTGGTGCATGCGTAATTTCTAAGATTGCCAAGCCATGGGTCTTTGGCTATTGCCCAATTGGCATTGCAAATTACCACGTTATGGTGCTCTTGTAGTTTTGTGGTCAATTTACCTTTTCAATACTGGATAAGCTTCAGAGTGAATCTTGACTTCATTTTTGGAGTCTATGTAAATCTCGGCATATTGTGGTTGACATTTTCCGATGCCCTTGTTGCCATATGTCATTATTCAAATTTAGAGAGATTTTCATAAAATTTAATGAGGTTTTCTGCTAATTGGAGTGGTTGGAGAGGTTTGGTTGCCATGGCCGAAGGCAATGACATTTGAAAATTCAAGGGGAATAGGGACCGATGATGAGGCTTCACAATCATGAAGCCTAGTGGTTTTGGAGACCTGGATATGAAAATTCAAGGTGAAATATTATATTGGTTATACACATAGTGGATGGATGGATTATGGTAATGAGCAAGATTGGGGCATGTGAGGGATGATGCCATGATCAGTACGGATAGTGGAGAGAGTTATTTTGTATTGCCAAGGTATGACATTGAGTCATTGACATGGGGCATCTCCATAGTGAAGACTCAAAATCAAATAAGACAGAGACAAATATCAATAGAGGCTATTTGCTTCTTATTTCTTCAAAATCCAGCATTTATGCTACAGTCTACGTTTTGGATGCTCAGAAATAGACTGGAAAGGTGTAAGAGATATAGCACCTATGCCATACTATGTATAGCTAGAACAGTGTCTGGGATCCATTATAAGATGAGCTGTTCTTAAAATCTTGATTGCGTTAAGTGCTTCAATGATGTGGATGCTTATTTGGGTTAGCAAAATTCTTAAATGTCAAGGAATTTGATCTACGTTGACTAAATAATGAGTAGAAGTTGTTCTACCCAAATAGGACTGCTTTAACCTTCACTGTGGGAGTGCTGCACAAAGTAATCCCCTTGTCCTGGATGCCAAGGACTTTATTATTAGAAATGAAACAGTTTTCTTTGATGAATGATGCATATAAAAGTGTTGGCCATTTGTAGAGTTGAATTGTAGTTTAATTTTATAGATTTGAGTAATTTGATTTACTTGTGTGGAACTGTGCTATCTTATTGACTTTCATTTCAATATATAGATTTGAGTCTTTGAAATTGATTTCATGCAATTATTTAACTGGTGGAATCTGCACAAACCCAGCTTGCTTAGCACGGAAATCATTCATGAATTGAAGTGTTAAGAACCGGCAAATTGGTTCTATGGAGAGTTGGGTTGGATTCCTCTGCAGAGGAGTTTATCCCAGATATTATCATGAAACTATGGGATTGTCAGTCTTAGAGCATTAGAGTGCGGTTTGTGAGAAATTTATCGTTGGCAATGAGCAAGGGTTCTTCTAGTTCTGGAAAGTTGTGGGATGGTAACATCTAGTTGGTGGGATTGCAAAGACTATTTCCTGAAGACGCTTTTGAATTAGAAAAAGGTGGCAAATTGGGTGTTTTGAAGTTGGTAGATGCATGATTGGGGATCTCTTTGCTTGTTCATGTCTTAGGAACTTGTGGAATGTCCGAATGGACCAGTTGAAGGTGAGGATCCCTGGATAAAACATAATGCAAGCTTACAGAGGACTAAAAGTCCTCAGTTGTAAGGATTAGACTGAGTAGTCATTGTAGCAGCCGGTGGACAACAAGGTGCCTAACATTATCAAGAGACGGAAGGTCTTTGGAAGCAGGCACTTTAACTTAGAAAAGGTCTTTGGCAAGCAAGGTCTCTTGGAACTATAGGACATTAGGATACAGGACAATGGCTGCTTCAACTTCATTTGGTTCTTAGGATGAACATGTGTGGTTCCCTTTTATGGGCATTCGTTCTAATGGCTAATAAACACATTTCTTTAAGCAAACCGTTAAAAACGAAAATTATTTAATAGTGAAGCTTGAGCTACCCAAGTGCCAGTCTTTTTCTTTCATTGGAGAAAGTGGATCCTCTAAACCCAAGAAGCACAAAACTTAGTGTTTATGTCTGATTTAACTGGATAAGATTGGTAGATGTGGGGACTCGGCACACTCCTAGGTTTTGGGACACTCCGGTTTGATGCAATCATGTTGATTGCTGGCACTGCTATTCCATCATGCAGTTTTGGTATGTGCTTGAAACTGTCAGTGTGGGTGAGATACTTGGTAAGATGAATTCTAATATCGGTGTCTGTATGGTATACAGAGAAGCTCCAATGTTGAAGATAGGCTTGTTTCTCCAGGTTGTTTGATTCGGAACCTTGTTAAATCTCTCTCTCTCTCTCTCTCTCTCTCTCTCTCACGCACACACACATACACACATGTGCACGCATGCTCTCACACTTGCAAGAAAAACAATTTATTGCCTAATAGAATTCAGAAATGGATATTAAAACAAAGGAGGTTTTGTTTGATCATGTCTGCTCGAGGCATTTGCAACTGTTATATGCCCAATTTTCTACCTCCTATATATTTTCTCCTTTGATAATGTAGCTGCATAACATATTTGTGCAATATTGTGTTGTACTTTTGTGTTTCACCTGTTTCTCATTGTTTCCCATGAAGTATCATTTTTACTGAATTGAGTCTTGAGTCTTATAGCAATCAATTTTCCATGTCATTGTTCTGTCTCACATCCTGAGCTTTTGATCTGGCAGCGTCTTGGTATATTGCAGCAAACAGGCCATGGCTGGCTTGGATCACAAGGTGGCTCTTCTGGTCTCATAGTCAAAAGAACAATCAGGGTGGATATTCCTGTAGATAAGTACCCCAATGTATGTAAATGAGCCCCCTCTCTCTCATTACTAATTTGACCATGAATCTCTCATTTATGTAAATGAAACTCTCTCATTTGGGTGCCCTCCCATGTATATGTATCTCTGAACATCTCATATAACTCTTTTGGCTCCTTCTGGTAAATTGCATCATAATTAATTTGTTTGGTTCAATGGGCATATGCCGTGTTTTAATGCAGTATAATTTTGTTGGGCGCCTCCTTGGCCCAAGAGGAAACTCTTTGAAGCGAGTGGAGGCAAATACCGAGTGTCGTGTGTTGATCCGAGGGCGTGGCAGCATTAAAGATCCTGCTCGGGTAATTCTTTTCTCCAGTTTATGTAATTGTTCTTGTAATTGCACAAAGTTACTCATGCATGGGGTTGGAACTGAGTAGGAGGGTAATCTCCTATTCTCCATCATCCGTAATCATGACCAGATGGTGGATGCCCCCATACACAATTGGTGTATGGTTTCATCATCATCATCATCCGAGCCTTATCCCAACTATTTAGGGTCTGCTACATGAATTTTTTTCCACCATTCCGCTCTATCAAGGGTCATACCCTCAGTCAGATCATAAGCCATTACATCTTTTCTCACTACTTCCATCGATGTCCTTTAAGGTCTTCCCTTTGCCTTTTTAGAGACTTCCACTTGAACCAAATCACCTCTCCTAATTGGTGTTGTTCTAGGTCTATGCTGCACATGACCAAATCACCTAAGTCTACTTCCCTCATTTTATCCCCTATTAGAGCTAACCCCGAAGGTCACAATTGGTGTATGGTTTGCTGTCCCAAAATCTTTTACTTCAATGCCATAGCCTCCTTGTGTGAGGCTCTTCTATCATCCTTGGTGTTAAAATTTTGGTGGAAATTTGCTGTGAATCATAATATCAAGTCTGTGATGAAATAAGCCCATCTCTTTTTTTATTTTTTTATTTAAATTTTACTTGACAGATTGTATATTATTTTCTTTATTTAAAAACCCCTCTATTTTTAATCTTTATTCTTATTTCTGAAAGTATTTGCTTTTTTCTAACATAAAGTATATGTTTCTCAAGAAAATCTGGCACCTTTTGCATGGGCCCAACACTTCTCATGCCCTTTTGGTATTGAATTTAATTTTCTTTTTGGTTGCAGGAAGAACTGATGAGGGGAAAGCCAGGTTACGAGCATCTCAATGAACCCCTTCACATACTTGTGGAGGCAGAGTTGCCTATGGAAATTATAGATGCTCGCCTGATGCAAGCTCGCGAGATTCTTGACGACTTGTTAAAGCCTGTGGTAAGTCTTCCTATGGCTCCATTTTTCCCTTATTAAATTTTTGGTATGAAAATCATACTGTCATTGATCAAGAAGAGGAAAATCCTTTTATATGCTTTCAATTATTGATGAACGTTACTGGCTGAGTGATGAAGCTGGAATGTTACTGGGCACTTGAAAATATAGAGATGTGTTTAAAGAAATTCTGTTGACACTTGTTTTGGGCAGATCTCACGTCCAGTGAGCCACGCAAACATACATGTGTGTGCAACTCGAGTGAGAGAGATTTGGGAAGTGCCATTTTGGGGGTGCACCATGAGAGAGTGAGAGTTGGGGCACACTATTTGGGAGAGAGAGAGAGGAGGAAGGAGAAAAAGGGGGGGAGGGGCTGGGTTGAGAATCAATGGCATTTTCATATGTAACTTTTTCAGCAAGCTATCATAGTATTACCTTGGTAGTTTAGCCCTTGAGTTTTCTTCTTGCAATTTGTTCGGCAACTTACCCCTCTGCCATTCTCATGCAGGATGAGTCGCAGGACTTCTTCAAGAAGCACCAGCTCCGAGAGCTTGCAATTCTGAATGGTACACTCAGAGACGAAGGCTCTCACATGTCTGGTTCTGTTTCTCCCTTCCAAAATAACAGCCTTGGAATGAAAAGAGCCAAAACACGGGGGTAAAGAAAGGCTACTACTGCATGTGGCGACCAACCTCACAATACATATTCCCCACTTAATACCTTATGTTATGCACGTGCCCGTGAATGTGGAGGAGCCAACTGCTCGGTTCTGTCGCAAAGTGATGATGCCATTTTGGGTTTTGTTGGGTGTGCCTTGTTTTTGGATCAGGTAAGTTGGGAACATGAAATCAAGTGTCCTATATTATTTCTTTCTTTGGTGAATATTCTCATTGTTGGTGAGAGTGGGGGGTGCTTTTGATCAGATATACGTACTTGTGGAGAGAGAGAGAGGGAGAGAGAAAGGCCCCCCATGCGACCCGGTTGAGTTGTTATATTATTAAGTCCCCAAATAGCCAAAGGGACCCTGTTGTTTATGTAGTTTGATTTGTTATATGATATGAATGTAGGTCTAGTTGGGGTTGATAATCTTACAAAAATATGTATCTTCTAATGTTAATGGGTTGATTGAGCTTCATGAAAATGGACAATGGCTTCTTTTACCTTTCTTTTTCTCGATGGGATTGGATCTGAAAAACATTCGAGTCACCAAAAATGGTGCTCCTGCTAGATGCGAAGCCACATCGCGAGTGTGGAAGGGACCTGAAATTTTTTTCAGAATATGTTCTCACACTGAGTTCATGAAAAGTAAATGATGGACATGGGACACGTAGAAATTCATATTTTTGATGGATCGAGGACACGAGCCTGTTGTAAATCTTTCCAAATCCATTTTCGCCGTATAAAACTAGCTTTGAAACTTCTAAAGTAATGCAAATCTGACTGATCTAATGTCCATGAAAATCAGTGATACAGATTGCATAATGGGATGTCGTTGCATGCATTTCCATGGCTCCAAATTCTTGGTTTTTTAGAGCTTTAGAAGATAAGCTCTTCTCTTCTTATTCTGTCTTCCTTTTATGTTTATTCTACTGCAGTCTCATATTTCAAGCAATTAAGTAGGTTTTTATGAAATGGAAGGTTATCCATTTTCCTACGTGGCCCAAATGCAAAAATATTGAATGTTGGTTCACAAATACATGATTATTGGTCAAGTACCTCTTTTTTCTTCTTTTTTTTGATATGCTAATAACCAAAGTTCAAATCGTCCCAAAAAAGAAGGGAAAATTATGGATAAAAATATGCTGACCCCAAATGGACAAGGCTAGGATAATGATGATTGAAAAAATATATTCAACAGGATCACGCTATTAAACTCGCTCAATCCTCAAGTTCTAGTATACCTATTCTTGTCGATCAAGTTTTTACCCAATGAAATTAAAATTAATGATTAGAAAACAAAAAAGGTTGAAGTATCTTGTTTGCACGGGGTCTTTTATCCTCCCTCTTACCAGGGTTGCTTTCACGTTATTGTGGAAACCTTTTTATGGGTATAGATAAACATAGATTGTGTTCTGGCAAGTATGAATTAGCTGATAACAATGTTACATTTGTTAATAAAATATGTTATGAGAATCATCAATAAGCTACCCAAAACCAACAAAACCAACAATAATGACATTTGTTAATAAAGAAAAGGGCTAAAATTCATTAAAATCACAAATTAAACTAGAGGATATGTTTTTAAATTTCTATATCAGTCCCCAAAAAAATATTTATGTTTTTTTCAAATTGCTCCTATTCAGTGTTAAGAAGCCCGAACAATTAGGCATGTTTTGACAATCTTACCCCACAAAAAAGCCTTAACTCAATAATTAGGGTAAAATTGTTAAATTATGCCTAACTATCGTGGCTTCATAACACCAAATAAGGGCAATTTAAAAAATTTTAACAATTTTTGTTTGAGGATATTATAAAAATTTAAAAGTATATACCAAGCATAATTTGTAATCTTTTTTACTCTTTCAATGATTTTTAAAAGATTTCAACTCATTTTTTGATATATTTCCTTGTTAATAAAATGTGTTTTAGCAACCATTTATAAGTTCTCAACAAATGGACAACAATATCATATTTATTAATGAACTGACAATAACGTCAAATTCTAAAAAGCTCACCAAATAATTATCAAATACAAAATGGCATGTAGAACCCGCTAAAAGCAAATTATTTCTTAAATTTCATGGTATGTTTGGTTTTTGAGAAAGCTATTTTACTGGAAATTCTGTTAAAAACCATAAGCCTGAAAAAAAGATACGAGCAAAATACTTCGGCTAGAAACCGAGTGTAACATGCTTGTAACAATCGAAGAAAGCTTGGATAAAGAGATGGAGAGGATAGAGATTGCGAGGTTAGAGAAATAAAAAAGGAATGACGGCATCTTTCGTTTCCCCATTTTCCTGAGAATTAGCAGCGCACCTTGGGGGTGCACATTAGTTTTCCCCAATAATGGAGAAAAACATAGAACCATAGAAATGTCATCCTTTTCCCTGTTCTCAAACATGGGAAAATATGGTAATTGAGAAAATATGTTTTTTTTCCTACTTTCACAGTTACCAAATAGGCCTTTAACGTGTTTTTTTTTTTCTTTTTTTCTTTTAATGTTTTAATGGTGTGCACTCCTTTCACTGTTCGATTTGACTCTCCACCATCAAATTTAGTTTCTCAGATCGTGTTTTGCTATCCTCTAAGCTCTCTAGCGTTAAACCACACACCCGTGAAAAAGAACACAAAATAGCCATAGAATAAATAAAAGAAATTAAGCATACCATAATTCAGATAACAACATCCTCAAGGAAAATCAAAATTATTATTCTCACTTCAATTTTTAATAAACAAACGATTATTACAGCATAGAACACACTGAAACCATTTTCTTCACTACATGCTGGGAGTATAAATCCTCCCCCTTCTCTCTCTCTCTCTCTCTCTCTCTCTCTCTCTCTCTCTCTCTCTCTCTC